CGTGAACCACCGCATTTAACCATGGCAAGGTGACTGGGAATATGGCAGAATACAAACACTGTCGCTACTCACTCCGCAAGGCAATTAAACTGGCAAACATCAGTATAGAGACAAAGTGGAGTGGCAATTCAACGGCTCAGACACGAGACGTATGTGGCAGAGTCTACAGACTACAAAAGGAAAACCAGCCACATCGCCGACACCGACATCTCGCTTCTAGACAAGCTAAACACTTTCTTCGCCCGCTTTGAGAATAACACAGCGCCACCGACGAGGCCCACTATCTGTGGCCTCTCCTTCTCCATGGCTGACGTGAGTAAGACATTCAAGCGTGTTAACCCTTGCAAGGCTGCCGGCCCAGACAGCATCCCTAGCCACGTCCTCAGAGCATGCACAGACCAGCTGGCTGGTGTGTTTACGGACATATTCAATCTCTCCCTTTCCCAGTCTGCTGTTCCCTCAATGTTCAAGATGGCCATCATTTTTCCTGTACCCAAGAAAGCAAATGTAACTGAACTAAATGACTATCGCCCTGTAGCACTCACCTCTGTCATCATGAAGTGCTTTGAGAGACTAGTCAACGATCATATCACCTCTACCTTACCTGTCACCCTAGACCCACTTCAATTTGCTTACCGCCCCAATAGATCCACAGACGATGCAATCGCCATCACACTGCACACTGTCCTATCCCATCTGGACAAGAGGAATACCTATGTAAGAATGCTGTTCATTGACTATAGCTCAGCATTCAACACCATAGTACCCTCCAAGCTCATCATTAAGCTCGAGGTCCTGGGTCTGAACCCCGCCCTGTGCAACTGGGTCCTGGACTTCCTGACGGGCCGCCCCCAGGTGGTGAAGGTAGGAAACAACATCTCCACTTCGCTGATCCTCAACACTGGGGCCCCACAAGGGTGCGTGCTCAGCCCCCTCCTGTACTCCCTGTTCACCCATGACTGCGTGGCCAAGCATGCCTCCAACTCAATCATCAAGTTTACAGATGACACAACAGTAGTAGGCTTGATTACCAACAATGACGAGACTGCATACAGGGAGGAGGTGAGGGCTGTGGGAGTGTGGTGCCAGGAAAAATAACCTCAATGTCAACAAAACAAAGGAGATGATCGTAGACTTCAGGAAACAACAGAGGGTGCACCCCCCTATCCACATTGATGGGACCGCAGTGGAGAAGGTGGAAAGCTTCAAGTTCCTTGGCGTACACATCACTGACAAACTGAAATGGTCCACCCACGCAGACAGTGTGGTGAAGAAGGCGCAACAGAGCCTCTTCAACCTCAGGAGGCTGAAGAAATTGGGCTTGGCACCTAAAACCCTCACAAACCTTTACAGATGCACAATTGAGAGCATCCTGTCGGGCTGTATCACTGCCTGGTACGGCAACTGCACCGCCCACAACCGCAGGGCTCTCCAGAGGGTGGTGCGGTCTGCCGAACGCATTACCGGGGGCAAACTACCCGCCCTCCAAGACACCTACAGCACCCGATGTCACAGGAAGGCTAAAAAGATCATCAAGGACATCAACCACCCGAGCCACTGCCTGTTCACCCTGCTATCATCCAGAAGGCGAGGTCAGTACAGGTGCATCAAAGCTGGGACCGAGAGAATGAAAAACTGCTTCTATCTCAAGGCCATCAGTCTGTTAAATAGCCATCACTAGCACATTAAAGGATACTGCCGCCTATTGAAATCACTGGCCACTTTAAGAAAAGGAACACTAGTAATTTTAATAATGTTTACATATCTTGAACTACTCATCTCATATGTATATACTGTGTTCTATTCTATAATATTATACTGTATCTTAGTCCATGCCGCTCTGTCATTGCTTGTCCATATATGTATATATTTTAAATTCCATTCCTTACTAGATTTGTGTGTTTGGGTATATGTTGTGAAATTGTTAGATATTACTTGTTAGATATTACTGCACTGTCGGAGCTAGAAGCACAAGCATTTCGCTACACCCGCAATAACATCTGCTAAACACGTGTATGTGACAAATACAATTTGATTTGATTTGAACTGATGATCTCCACATGTGTAGTTCCCATTGTACAGCACGGAGGAGGAGGTGTTATGGTGTGGAGCTGCTTTACTGGTGACACTGTCTGTGATTTATTTAGAATTCAAGGCACACTTAGCCAGCATGGCTACCACAGCATTCTGCAGCGAAATGCCATCCCATCTGGTTTGGGCTTAGTGGGACTATCATTTGTTTTTTAACAGGACAATGACCTAACACACCTCCAGGCTGTGTAAGGGCTATTTGACCAAGAAGCAGAGTGATGGAGTGCTGCATCAGATGACCTGGCCTCCACAATCCCCCGACCTCAACCCAATTGAAGGAAAAGCAGCCAACAAGTGCTCAGCATATGTGGGAACTCCTTCAAGACTGTTGGAAAAGCATTCCAGGTGAAGCTGGTTGAGAGAATGCCAAGATTGTGCAAAGCTGTCATCAAGGCAAAGGGTGGCTATTTGAAGAATCTCAAATATAAAATATATTTTGATTTGTTTAACACTTTTTTGGTTACTACATGATTCCATATGTGTTATTTCATAGTTTTGAGGTCTTCACTATTATTCTACAGTGTAGAAAATAGTAAAAATAAAGAAAACCCTGTGTCCAAACTTTTGACTGGTACTGTACATCCAAAAACCTCTTAGATTCTTGCCCATTAAAGATGACACTTCTCGCATTCCACGTCACTATCATAAACATCATTCCATATCATCCGATTCTGACACTTCCCCAACCCCGCCGTCCTCCTGAGACCCATCTCTCCTCACTACCTGTATATAGGAGTGCAAACTCACCACTGATTGATCCTTGATCTCTAAGAATGCCCCTGCTTGCTTAATCACTGCTTCTTTCAGGCCGGATGACATGTTCACCTGTCTCGCTACCCACAACACTTCCACCATAAAGGCCAAGAACTCCTTCTTCTTGATCAAGTACAAGTCAGCTGGAATCACTGGTGCTGGCAGAGGGGTCATCCTTGGAACCCCTACTACCAGCGGCACGCTCACCTCCATCTGCGCAGCAGCGCTGCCCACTACTCGTTTTGCCGCCTCTTCGTACGATACTCCCTCCTCCACTCAAATCTTCTGTACCTGCTCAGCTCGACCATGGTGTGTTCACAACCTCGAAATGCTGCCACATGGTTTCCCCCACAATTACAACACTTCGGCTCTCCTCCTGCACACTCTTAGCACTCATGATCACCTCCACATTTTCCACATCTTCTTGTCTTCCTGCACACCGCTGCCACATGCCCATACCTCTGGCACTTATAGCACCGCAGGGAAGGCTGCACATATGGCTTGACAGTGAAGCTCAGGAATCCAAGGTTCACTCTCTGTGGCAAGATCTCCTCGCTTCTCTGTCCATTTCGAGTCCCTTTGAACTGGAAGACATCTACGATTCGAGCCCCCTCCAGATTGTTCCTCAACTCATCCTTCGTTATATCCAGCGATACCCCATAAATGACTCCCTTGGCTCTTTGGTTCAGTCCTGGGGCATAGCACTCCACTGCCTTTCCCCCCAGCGTTTGCAGTCTCAAGGCTTTGGTCCGTTGGGCTGCAGATTTGCAAAAGATTAGCAGGTTCCCATTCGACAGGATTTTCGTATGTAGAATGTCTCCAATCTCTTTGCGCAAAGCATCTGATACTTTAAGAGGGTTAATGCTACTGCTCGTCTCCATCTCCCCATAAACTTCACAATAACCTTAAACTCCCACCCCCCCTCACAATTTCCTCAATCCTCATAAGCTTTCCACTCGAGCCACCTGGGTCACTGTTACTGCCACTCTCCTTCTCCCTCTCTTTCCGCTTTAGTAAACTCTTTAGATTAGCTACCTCCCAACCATCTCCCTTCCCCTCTTTACCCCTTTCTGGCATGATTGTGGTGTAACCTACCGACAGACCACTTCCTGCAGGGATACAGCCCCTTACAGGGACAGCTTCATGCACTGCAAAACTAGGCTCACTAACAAACACTGCTACCATGTGCGACCGACCTTTCTCACCGACCTTTCACCTCGGGTTGTCTCTCCTCACCTGAGAATGAGATCCATGGACCTGCATTGCTTCTTAAAAGTTTTATTGGAAGCTCGCAACCAACTGAAAGGTGCATACACCGCCACCCACTGTACTGGAGTGTGAGGCTGGTCACGGCCTCCCTATTCATCTATAGTCTCTTATCTAGCCCTGTGTTTCCGCCTACTGTTCTGGAGTGTGAATTCATCACACTTTGTGACACAAAAATGGAAGGGAAAAGGGACAGGGAAAAGGGAAGAAAAAATTGCCCTACCAACTAACCCTACACCCATTAAAACCTCACCACTATTCCACTACTTGGCCTTATTTGATCCTACACCAGGCCTGCAGCTTGGGAGGACGGAACACTATCGTTCAACACACCTAAAATGCAATAAAATCTTGTACACCCAAGTACTTCTCTGCAGCTGCCACCACAACATCCATTTTCTGTGATTTACTTTCCATTTCTGCAGTACAGTTGATAACCATGGCTATGAACACTAAGAAGCCAACATTCTACATGGCTACTACAAGCACATTCATTCATTCAATGAAGTTGTTGGTGTCATAATAACTTTAAAATGTATCTACGAGTTACAATCATAGAAATATAATCTATTTATGGTTTTATTGTGTCATAACATTTCATTTCCATAAATGTATATTCAGACAGTGTATGGATAATCCAGTGAGATTTGAAATAACTATTTGAAATTTTAATTTTTTCAACAGCAAATATGTGCCAAAATGCATTATGAAACTTGTATTAGGCTAATTACGTTTTTGGTGTCATGCAAAAACAGTCTGTCTGACTTGTGGCAGGGTGTGTTCGTGTGCGCCTGCTTTATGATCTTTACGGTAGCTATTCCAGATTCATTTTTTCCTTGGGAGGAAGCAGCGGAAAGTCTGGGAACCCAAGCACATCAGCGGTTGCATCCATGGCTGAGCGCCGCGCATTCGCCCAAAAAATCAGCAGGTAAGGGCGTTACTTCCAATTTTAACACTAATTGCACTGACAGAGTCCCTCGTTCAAGCTACGCTGTTTTCAATATTTAAAAACCTTTCGTCCTCTGCCCTCCGTTTCAAGGCAAAGCCATCCCCAAATCAGGCCCAGCCAGCTATTTATCGTTAGCCATATCAAAGATGCCCAAGTGCCAGTCACAGATAGACCCGCCATATAGAACAGCGATCTGTTTCTCGCAATGCATACGGGTTTGAAGTTTAGCTACGTTTGAAATCTATCATACTATGAAACCCAACCACTATTTGTCTTTACAACGATTTAGCTAAGCGTTCATTGGACTGACTAGACTAGAAAATCCGTAGTAGACAGTTGAGGTAACTTGGTGGCCACGGCTGGGTAACACTGACACATCCGCGAGACACGAGAGCAAGCAACACAGTAGCTAGCCAACAAAATTCAACGATGCCAGTTGAGCGGCGACTAATGTGGGCGAAATGGAGCTCCGAAGTGGAGCTCTTTACAGTACGTGCTGATTTCAGTACCCAAAGAATAGCGCGCAATTACACAGAACAATGACTTGTGTAATTGCGGGCTATTCTTTGGGTGCTGAAATCAGTAGTTTTTGGAGAAAAACGATTATATGATGGAGTTCCAGTATGCCCACACTTAGTCGCCGCCCAACTCCATCCTAAATCGTGCCCAACCAGTGTTGCCAACTCCTCAGTAAGGAAGTAGCTATTGGGTGTCCTAGAAGTCGCCAATTGGCCATGTGCATGTAATTGTGATGGATGCTGTAGGAGAGAGGAATAACTTTATGGTAGAGACAAAAAGTGAGTAAAAAAAACACCCTACATTTACATCCCGCCCGGGATCAGCCAGCAGCGGCTTCCCACATGCGCGATTCATTTGCAGTCTGGACCCGGAGGGGTGAACATCTCCTGCTCTGACTGCAGCTGGGAGGGACTGCTGCGCGAGGACTGTGAGTGCTTTGGGGCGGGGGTAACAAAGCACCCGCTGCTCGTTGAGAAGAGTAAGAACGATACGTTCTTTCACGTCAGTCTCCAATAACACCAGAAAAAGTCGCTATATTTGTCGCTAGTCGTTTTTTTGAAAAATGTTTCGCTAGAGGGCTCTGAAAACTCGCTAAATATAGCGACAAAGTCGCTAAATTGGCAATTCTGTGCCCAACTCCATCCTAAATCGTGGAGTTGAGTTTAATCGGCTATACAGTAACGTTAACTAACATCGTCAAGGACAGTGGTAGTTTACCAGAAAAAGCCCAAACATTCAAAGTTATGTCAGCCACAGTTAAAGGTAATGCATTCAGATCTAATAAGTCTATTGAAAGGAACAAAACAAAAAGCTTTGTGTCAATTTCAGTTGCTTGCTGTTCATGCCAGTGGAATTAAAGCTGGATGTAAAACAATGCATTGCATTGGTGTGGAAAATTGGTAATATCTCACATACAAAAAATAGCATTATCATAACAGGGGGTAACCAATCACAACATCCACCTGTAGATTGAAATTGTCAAGCTGTCAAACTGAAACTGCCAAAACATCATAAGAGTAGCTAGCCAGATTGTTGTCCAAATCACACTAAAACCATATACAGTGGTAGATCAAAATGAATAATATACCTTTAAACAGTATTTATGCCACCCTTCAAATGTTTTACAGTACAATAGAGGTGTCTGTGCCAGTAGGCAAATTATAGGCCTAGTCATGATCATTGTGGTGTTGGTTTCAGTGTGAATAGTGTCTGCAGGATTGTTGTCACTTGCCAAGCGATGAGTGTAAAGAGGAGGATATGAAGCAGAACAACAAACGAAGAAGAGAGAAATTAAATAGATTTTCCAGATGACAGAACATAACCCTTCTATAGCGCACACACACACGCACGTTATGGTTTAGTTCAGACCTCCGTGCTTGATGATGGAAGCATCACTCACCACCCCAAAGGAATCAGTCACATCAGAGCAGAATGCAGATGGGTAAAAGCAATCTGTTGACATCTTCTGGTATTTTTAGAAATCACTGACAGAATGAGGCTATGAGAATAGCGGACAATTTATCCCTCATGTTCTCTGTTGTTGGTTTGAGTCTGACTGTGAGTGTGTTATTTCTGTAAAGTATTTTCAGAAAGTCTCAACCTATTGGGATAGACTTATCTCTCGCGGACAGATTTACGTAAACAACTGGTACTGTAGAATTTGTCGGGAAGGAATGAGATGTGTGGGATAACAAGCAGCAGTAGTTCCGATGTTTGGGTTTTTTCGTCACAGGTTATTTGGGGGAAATTCCACGGTGACAGAATTACACTTTGTCTCAGTTTTTTCACTTTAAAATGTATGCCAAACGAAAACCATTGATTTCAAAGTTTAACAAACCATACAAGTCTATGCACAATTACTACTTTTAAGAATTTCCACTGAAAAATGCACAAAAACTAATTTAGCGGAAGAACTGTGCAGATGGAAACTTTAACGAAATGATGGTAAAATCTCCCTCAGGTTTTTATGCGACCAGGTTTTCCAAAAATTTTTAAATATCTGCTCCGAATTAAGATTAAAAGATGTCTGCAGAAAAAAATGGGGTGTCAGCTATGAAATGGCACCTTGAGTTTGAACAAATCTATTTTGGTTATTGAACTATAGTAAGTGAAGTGGATTTACACCCAGTAAAGGCATTATGGTAACATAATTACATCATGGGTCCCTGATCTGTAGTACACAGAAATACATAATTATGGATATGAATGTCATGCTCTTCATGTTTCACAAGTTTGGACATCGCAGCACAGCGGTGTACAGTGCAGTACAATACAGCGGTGTACAGTGCAGTACAATACAGCGGTGTACAGTGCAGTACAATACAGCGGAGTACAGTGCAGTACAATACAGCAGAGTTCAGTACAGTGCAGTAGAGTACAGCAGTGGTTCCCAACCTTACTGTACCACCAACTGAAGTTTGCTCTGCCTGGAGTACCCCTAAAGTACCCCCTCATGCATTTTATCAGTAGGCCTATGATCTCATGAGTCCTCTCAAGTACCCCCTGTGAATAGGCCAAGTACCTCCAAGGTTCCTAGTACCCCTGGTTGGGAACCACTGGAGTACAGTTCAGTAGAGTACATTACAATATTCTGAGTATTCTGCTTTTCTTTACTGTGCTATCCAAACTTGTGAACCATGCGTCTGGGTTGAGAATTGGTCCAGTCCGGTCCGTCTGTGGACGTTAACATCAAGGCCAGGATGGACTGATCTAATGTGAAATACTTTTCATCGTCCGGTGTCGGTTGATGCTCAGTGGGTGAGGATGCAGAGAGAGACTCTGTTTTACACTCATGGTTTGACCCCCAGACAACAGAAAGACAAACAAAAGTTATGAGCTCAACATAACAGTATGCCAGTGGAAGGGAGGACAGTAGGAGGTGAACCAACTGTGGTTTATGACTGTTTGATTTTCCCATTGTAGCCAGTTTTTTGGTAAAACTTCATTGCAACTACGAGTTTTAATCACATATTATATCATGGCATTGTTGAATACTCGTTTCTGATTGGCTTGGCAGCAAGTAGCTTAGCTGTTAAGAGCGTTGGGCCAGTTACCGAAAGGTCGCTGGTTCGAATCCTTGAGCCGACTCTGCCGATGTGCCCTTGAGCAAAGCACTTAACCCTAATTGCTCATGTAAGTCGCTCTGGATAAGAGCAAAACATTATTTATTTTTTAATTGAAGGGCATTCTAGAGCGTGCATTAGTTCCCTATAACGCACAGTATATTTGCATGGTAGAATTCAGTGGCTATAGTTCATTCTTACATGTTCAATGTTTGAGCTGCTTTTGAAAGCAAAAGTCGAATTGAAAACATTGGCATTGTTGAATTCGATTTTCGCAATAGCAAGCTAGGACTGATGCTTTGGTTAGCTAAACTAGCAAGTCTGTTTTTTTGGTTACGAAGGCGACTACTGTCTCTATGTAGTTCAGTGGCTGTTGAACACATTTCTAGAGGCAAATGAACACATTTCTAGCAGCTAATGTGTTAAGTTATAGCCATGGTATAAAAGGGATAATCAACTCGTGGCTCTATGCGTTCTCTGGAAAATAATGCACACCTTCCATGTCTTTCATTATTTTCCATAGAACGCATAGCCTCTTGTTGATTATCCCTTACATAATTTAATAAACAAAATTGATATCAGTAAAATCACTATAACTAATTGATAGGTCTAGAATTAATTGTTACTTCTGTGAACTTTCATTATCCTCCCTCTTCATGAGGGAGAGAAATTAGAAATATCTTAAAACTGTGTGGGTTTTCTCCAAAACAAAATATGTGTTGATATTAGTTAGCAGGCGTCTTTACGTCAATCTTATTGTGTTTTGATGTATTTCTGATACCTTTTTAAAGAATTTTTCTGGTAGGTAGGTTTTTCTAAGACCCCTTTTCCATCTGTTTATCCAGAAATCAAAGCCTTTACTTATGCCACATTTTTAAGATGGATAATTGTAGAAGATTGTAGCTATGCCTTCATTTCCCAAAAATATAGATTCTTAGCTTTCATTTGACACCCAATTTAACATGCTCTTATGAACTTCACGTTAATGCTCATGGGGTCCTTTTTGATGGAAATGTCCATGGACAAATCACGATTTCGCAGGTGTTAGCATCTTTCAAATTTCGGAATGGGAGGGGATATTCGGCCTGTAACTTGCAAAGAGAGAGGGTGGTGTTCATTGTTCCTCGTTCTAGCGTCTCTTGATCCATTCTCTTAACACGAATGGACCCAGAACTTAATCGAGCAGCTGACCAATTCCGCAGAAATAAAAATCTTTGTAGTTGAGACTGAGGTTCAGTTCTTTCTCCTGAAGTCAGGCAAAAACAATGTCTGATTGTGTTTTTCATTTAATAAACCTGTGGTTCTCAAACTCTTTGACCCACGACCCCCAAAAAGGAGTGGTTCAAAGCTTGCGACCCCTCGCGCATGCACATATATGCATGCACATGCTTTCACGAGCGCACAATCGCTGCACAAATGTAGCCTGTCATTTCAGCCATAAACGGTGATGCATTTTCAAAACGCAAGTTACAGAAATAAACAGTGTTTTGCACCTGCATTTTGAGCTGAAAGTCAATCATATTAGCAGCCAATATCAACTGGGGATAGACTATCATGTCACTTCTCTGGAGTCCTGTCACTTCTCTGGCGAGCAGGATCATACGGCCTACCTGTATGCAGAGGAGGTTGCAGGATTGGATGGAAAGCATGGTCTGTCCGTAGACTTTTTCTCAAACATTCCATAAGTAGGGCTGGGAATTGCCAGGGACCTCACGAAAGATATCATGATACTTAGGTGCCAATACGATATGTATTGTGATTCTCACAATTCTCTATGTATTGCGATTCGATATTGCGATTTTCATGCGATTCGATGTTCTAAACATTGCTCACCATATGTCTGCTGCAGAGTGACAAGAGAGAGCCATGAAAAAACTAGTTTTTATTAAAAAGTGCTGAAAACAAATTGGCTCCCTATTTAAGAAGATGGAGAACAAGCTATGTAGGAAAAATACAGAAGTTTTGGTGCAGGTACAGCCAACTAGCAAAAAAATAATATTGCGATATTATCAAAACGATACATCGTCAAAAATAATATCCCGAAATGTAAATGTATAGATTCCCCCCCGTCCCCGTCCCCCCCGTCACTACCCATAAGTATTGAAGGCAGTGCGATGTTACAGCTATCTTTGGACATATAGCCAGTACTAGCCACCCAAACTACTTTAAATATGAAAATGATCAATGAAATCACCAGGTTTACTATTATTATGGTAAAGATGCGTCCGTAGCAAATTGCTAAAATGTATTTAATATGGATAATCTAAACGTTCTCTGTTTTTGCCAGGCAAAACCGGAGAAAATGAAACCATTGCTTTCTGGTCACTAATCTGGATATGCACGCTAGGGTTGGGCGATTTTGCGATTGCATCGTCTATCGACGATGTTTGACAGTCATCGTCAATAGTGACAACATCATGTTGTCCAAACGATGGTTTAGCATATTTGCGTCAATATAAGTAACATAATAAAAAAATCCCAGTCAAAATCTGTCAGTTTAAGCTAGATATCGCCTATGGCGACCTTCCGCATCTGCGGTGGAAGGTGGCTGAGCTACAGCGGTGTTTGTCAGACCATGAGACATCCCGAAAATTGGTCTTCTCACAAAAACGGCTGTATCGTCCGAACAGTTTGGCCTAAAAACTAATATGGAAAGATGAGACAATCACTAACACGATAGTGTTCTCCGTTTTGCTCTACGACCCCCACAAGTGCCATGGGACTCGTCTGAAAATGTTTAATGGAAGTATGGAGGTAGTTTTGTGCCTACCCAAAAAAAGGGGTTAACTATGTGACTCGTTTCAGGAAACTATGCGTATGTAGCACGACACTACTTCACAGGAGCAGCATTTGAACGTAAACATTTATTTTTGATCAAAATTAGTTTTTTGGAACGTGAACTTTCGTGTGCCTTAATAACAAACTTGTATTCCATCCATAAATACAATTGTTAAATTACGAGCCTAGTTGGTTTAGCCACGGAAAATGACAGGGACCTTCCCCACTAGCCATGATTGGCAGTGATAATGGATGGGCTGGACATGCCGGGAGATGAGTTTGGATTGGTCTATAATGTGAGCTGTTCAGTATGTGTTGACAGTCCTTTCTACCACACCATTTTTGAAAGATATAACGTTAGCCATAGAGAACTACAAAAGTTTTGCTACTTTTCTCAACAACATTGATGCCCTGAATTTAGCAGATGCTATTGACAGATCAGTTGGAAAAAGTGATGGGCTACTTTCTGCACACGCCACGGTCAGTGTGAACTGGAGTGACTTGACACAACGCTGGCCAAACAAGATGTAGCTACAAACAAAACAAAGTTAAATGGTTCCACTCTGCCGTGAAGCGTTCATCCATGTATACGGGTAAGAGTCTAGCTACATTTTCAGATATCTGTTTCTAATTTAGTCAGACAGACGTTTTTGTTGCAAGTTAAAGCATGCTGTTAGTTAGCTAGCAAACGTTAGTTTGCTGGCTCGCTAGCTAATGTTACATGTATGATCTGTGTAGTAATATTATTCTAATCAGAAATCCATTTGCATTGCTAGTTATATCCTAATGTTAGTTAGCTAACATTGAACCTAGTTTGTTAACTTTACCTACCTGCAATTTCAAACTACAGCTATGACAGTGTTTGTATTGGTAGTAGTACGAGTTGGGATTATGCCGGTTCATTGTTTAGCTAGCTAGCTACCTAGCTAGCTACATGTCTAACCCAAAAGACACTTCGGCCGGATTATTACATGACCCATCAAATTAGCCAGGTGTGTCTGTGGGTGATTACGGCCATCTATTGTATTTCATGAACATATGTACACGTCTAGACAATAGTGACCAATCCACTAAGCTAGATGTGGTTGGGGGGGTGGTTATAGCATTTCCTGCACATGTCCCATCAATTTAGACAAGTGTGTCAATCAGGTGTCATCTAATAATGATCAAATATTTTTATCTAGACACTTTCTGTTTTTGATATTGCTACTATGCAAGTAACAACTTCACTGTATCGTTTACAACTTCTGTATCCTGTGCATGTGACAAATAAACTTAGATTTTATTTGATATAGCGTGTGTTTACCACATGGCCTCATGTGAATCCTTAGATGGGTGGGGCTAAGTCGTAAGAGGGTGTGAACAATGCTGAATGGGTGTAGACAAAGAAGAACTCTCCAGTAGGTGTACTAAAACATTCAAGGGTCATTTTCTCAAAAGTGGGGTTACAAGTTTATCAACTTTCAAAGCACAATTACTTTCCTGTTGTTCCTCAATTAAACAAATCAAAATATTTTATATTTGAGATTCTTCAAAGTAGCCACCCTTTGCCTTGATGACAGCTTTGCCTTATTTTCTGTATATTGTGTTGTCGTTTCTACTGTATCATACCGTATGTATGGAGCATAATGTATTTACTGTTTTATTCACGTTTTCAAGTACGGGTGACAAATCATGCATTCCGATTCTTGCATACATTGTAATGGACACATGATGTACAGTGAGGGAAAAAAGTATTTGATCCCCTGCTGATTTTGTACGTTTGGCCCACTGACAAAGAAATGATCAGTCTATAATTTTAATGGTAGGTTTATTTGAACAGTGAGAGAAAGAATAACAACAACAAAATCAAGAAAAACGCATGTCAATAAAAAAAAAATTGATTAGCATTTTAATGAGGGAAATAAGTATTTGACCCCTCTGCAAAACTGACTTAGTACTTGGTGGCAAAACCCTTGTTGGCAATCACAGAGGTCAGACGTTTCTTGTAGTTGGCCACCAGGTTTGCACACATCTCAGGAGGGATTTTGTCCCACTCCTCTTTGCAGATCTTCTCCAAGTCATTAAGGTTTCGAGGCTGACGTTTGGCAACTCGAAACTTCAGCTCCCTCCACAGATTTTCTATGGGATTAAGGTCTGGAGACTGGCTAGGACACTCCAGGACCTTAATGTGCTTCTTCTTGAGCCACTCCTTTGTTGCCTTGGCCAATATGTTTTGGGTCATTGTCATGCTGGAATACCCATCCACGACCCATTTTCAATGCCCTGGCTGAGGGAAGGAGGTTCTCACCCAAGATTTGACGGTACATGGCCCTGTCCATCGTCCCTTTGATGCGGTGAAGTTGTCCTGTCCCCTTATCAGAAAATCACCCCCATAGCATAATGTTTCCACCTCCATGTTTGACGGTGGGGATGGTGTTCTTGGGGTCATAGGCAGCATTCCTCCTCCTCCAAACACGGCGAGTTGAGTTGATGCCAAAGAGCTCCATTTTGGTCTCATCTGACCACAACACTTTCACCCAGTTCTCCTCTGAATCATTCAGATGTTCATTGGCAAACTTCAGACGGGCATGTATATGTGCTTTCTTGAGCAGGGGGACCTTGCAGGCGCTGCAGGATTTCAGTCGTTCACAGCGTAGTGTATTACCAATTGTTTTCTTGGTGACTATGGTCCCAGCTGCCTTGAGATCGACAAGATCTCCCGTGTAGTTCTGGGCTGATTCCTCACCGTTCTCATGATCATTGCAACTCCATGAGGTGAGATCTTGCATGGAGCCCCAGGCCGAGGGAGATTGACAGTTCTTTTGTGTTTCTTCCATTTGCGAATAATCGCACCAACTGTTGTCACCTTCTCACCAAGCTGCTTGGCGATGGTCTTGTAGCCCATTCCAGCCTTGTTTAGGTCTACAATCTTGTCCCTGACATCCTTGGAGAGCTCTTTGGTATTGGCCATGGTGGAGAGTTTGGAATCTGATTGATTGATTGCTTCTGTGGACAGGTGTCTTTTATACCGGTAACAAACTGAGATTAGGAGTACTCCCTTTAAGAGTGTGCTCCTAATCTCAGCTCGTTACCTGTATAAAAGACACCTGGGAGCCAGAAATCTTTCTGATTGAGAGGGGGTCAAATACTTATTTCCCTCATTAAAATGCAAATCAATTTATAACATTTTTTACATGCGTTTTTCTGGATTATTTTGTTGTTATTCTGTCTCTCACTGTTCAAATAAACCTACCATTAAAATTATAGACTGATCATTTCTTTGTCAGTGGGCAAACGTACAAAATCAGCAGGGGATCAAATACTTTTTTCCCTCACTGTATGTAAAATACTTTTTTGAACGTTGTACTGACAATGATGAGCTAATGCTAAGCTGTTTGCCAGCTATGTGTGGCGCCATGTTTGTTGACATTATACAATGCATTCTGGGTGTCACGTAAACGTCTGTTAGACCAAAGATGATGTAACAAAATGAGGTGAAGGGATGGCTCACTCATCTTTCGAGTAAACTTCTGGAAGTCAATGAAGGGAAGTGAATGATGGTAGACGACACACCCACTTTAATACTGCAAACAGACCAAACTCATCTTGTCTCCTCTTCTTATCTTTGGTTGACGCAACAACAACAAAAACATGGCGGCGTGCACAAACTACCCATCGTTGGATTACTTTAGATTTTTATAAAGTGTTTTACTCAATTATTTCGATCAATGGTGAGCTCACCCATGATGTGATGAATTGTAAATAGTAATTGCTATTAGCTCATTCATATTATGGTTTCTGTCAGCCGAGAGTTAGCTAAATATGACTGCTTGTGTTATGTCAATCTTTCCTCCGTTAGCGCTAGGACTAATGTAGCCTACATTTGGATGATTGTGTTATGCTGTCGCTACTTCTGTGAATGTCTGAACATTACATCCCAAAATAAACTGGTCACATTCAGGACATAACGTTGTAAGGACTGTGTTTGTGCAAAATGTTTCTGTGAAAAAACAGTGTCAATCAATGAACCTTTTATCCTCAATGCAAAGTTATGTTACAGTGAGGGAAAAAAGTATTTGATCCCCTGCTGATTTTGTACATTTGCCCACTGACAAAGACATGATCAGTCTATCATTTTAATGATAGGTTTATTTGAACAGTGAGAGACAGAATAACAACGAAAAAATCCAGAAAAATGCATGTAAAAAATGTTATAAATTGATATGCATTTTAATGAGGGAAATAAGTATTTGACCCCTCTGCAAAACATGACTTAGTGCTTGGTGGTAAAACCCTTGTTGGCAATCACAGAGGTCAGACTTTTCTTGTAAAAAAAACGAACGAAATGGAATTCAAATAACTGAACTGACCTAGGTCAATTTCGGTGAATCACTTCGCACTAGTATTGACTTGGGTGTCAATACTTATGTAAATGAGACTTCTGCTCCGAAATGGTGCTGCAGTGGATAGCGGCCATTTTACGCTGATTTTAACTTATTTTGTACATAATAGCTCCGATTTCCTATGACCGAAAACGTTTTCTGGACATCAGAACAGCGATCACTAACCTCGATTTGGATGAAGATTTCTACTTCAACGAGTTGGCAGTTCTGGACATTCTGCTTACTCCGGACCAGGCCCAGTCCGGCCAGGGACCAGGCCACAGCAGGGACCATAATAGTGTCAGAGGGAACAGAAAGGACCGTAAGGCCACCAGCATGGCCATGGCCAGGGAGAGCGAGCCTTCACGGACCATAATAGTAATGTTTGGCCCACAAGAGAACTGCTTCCCTATTTGTTCTGTTGTGTGATATACTGCAGTGTCAGAGGGAACAGTAATGACAGTAAGGCCACCATTATGGCCAGGGCCTGGGAGTGAGAGCCCTCAGATCACAGCAGGGACCATAATAGTAATGTTTGGCCCACAACAGAACTGCTGCCCTTGACTATACTGTGCCTGTCCTTCAGAGTGACCAGACTACTGCAGTAAATGAACTGGCCTTATCTGTTAACTTATTACGCTTACACACTTTCTTTTCCACTTTTCCAACCCAAGTGTGTATGTGAGACATCTTTGACTGTAAGCGGCCTGGAGGCAACTTCTGACTGTGTTTTCCATAAGCAAAGCCTAGATTGAATAGATTACTGTCTGGTGGCTATCCTCTGTCTGGACTGAAGGGTTGCCATTTGTTGAAGCAAAGAATGTAGCCTATAGCCATGATCTGTGTTGTGTTTAACCTGTTAACTTAACGGTTTGATAATCACTGCTAAGCTTCTCTCTCCTCTCCTCTCTACAGGACTGTAGCAGCTGAGGTGAGAAAGCAGATTTCTGGTCAGTATGGGGGCTCCCCACAGCTCCTCAAGAACCTCAACGTGGGTGCCGCGGCAGGCAACACAGTAAGCACCTAACCACAGTGCATCTTGGTGTTTTTTGCAGAGGGTGAGGTAGAGGTAAATGGAGAGAGGAAGGAAGGAGGGAGGGTTTGAGTGTATCAGCTAACAATTAACAGGTCCATTCTTCACATCCTCTCTCGCCCCTATGGTGTGGTCAGTGATAACACTGCCTGGCTCCTCTCACCAGTAATAGTGTTTGCTGAGGCTGCCCATTGACTGCCAAAATAATAAATCCCTGATGGCGTCCTCTTGCCAGTCCCCACCGCTGAGCTAAAGGAGCAAATAACCATCCTTAATTAGGCTAAATCTGACTGTTTAATTCAACTGTGAACGTATGGTGTTTGTTCTAAATTCCCCCCCAAAACTTTAACTGAACTTAGTGAGGAATTAGAGTCCCCCTGGGTGCTTAGTTTTAGAAATAGAAAGAAGCAAGCCTATAAAATCATCACACTAGGCCTGAGGTGGTTCGTTTGCCAGGACTTGCTTTTCCAGTTATGTCGGCTTGTTAGCATTTCCTCAACAAAGTGTCTGTCTGCCAGTGGCGGTCGTGCCGTTTAAGATTAGGGAGGGCGCTAGCTTTTTTTATAAGCATGGCCTTATTTGTATTACAGCATATTGGATGACTGTCATTCATATTCCATTCACTCAGCTCAATGTAACATTGATAGGTTTTTAGCTACTACATGGTATTTGAATTTTCCCTATACCCATCATGACGTTGCTACAACCTAGCCTATGAAAAGTTTACAACAGAGGTGCACAGGCTGAGAGACATTTTTTGTAATCAAGGTGACACAGTGACATATTCAATACTGCCTTGTAGACTCTTGCCTGCAACTAGCTGATCTAGGGTGTAATCATTAGTCCAACAGTTGCAAACTAGAGTTTCTATTGGACAAATTCAGGTATGTTTATCCCCGTTTCGTTCTGTTTGCTTCCATTTAAGAAACGTTTTTCAACAGAATCGGCAGAATGAATACTTCCCTGATCACACGCAAACACAGTTCACTTTCATAGCAGCCACATACAAACAGCATGATCACTTTGCTCGTTGTAATTCCATCTCGCATGTACGCGCTCTCGTCCTCTAACCTTTTCCCTTCATTTGTGGACTTCAGTGCACAACACTTCAGCTGTCTGTGACCAGGCGAAAAAACCTTTCCAACCCGAACCTTCATATCATAACTGCTAACCGCTACATACGGACTACATCACTTTCACCATATCTAACGTTATAGTGAACGTAGCTAATAGAACCGGCGCAATAGTAAACCCTCTACAATCATGCAGTACAGTCAGCAAGCAATTTAGCAGTGACACCGGCGGGCCCCGGTAGCAATATTTTACAGTACCAGTCAAAACTTCGGGGACACCTACTCATTCAAGGGTTTTTCTTTATTTTTACTATTGTCTACATTGTAGAATAATAGTGAAGACATCAAAACTATGAAATAACACATATGGAATCATGTAGTAACCAAAAAAGTGTTCAACAAATCAAAATATATTTTATATTTGAGATTCTTCAAAGTAGCCACCCTTTGCCTTGATGACAGCTTTGCACACGCTTGGCAATCTCTCAACCAGCTTCATTACATTTATCCAGAGCGACTTACAGGAGCAATTAGGGTTAAGTACCTTGCTCAAGGGCACATCGACAGATTTTTCACCTAGTTGGCTCGGGGATTAGAACCAGCGACCTTTCGGTTACTGGCACAACGCTCTTAACCACTGCTACCTGCCGCCCCATGAGGTAGTCCCCCTTCCACTCCTTTTTTTGCGGTAATGCCGCAATTAGTTGGTTGTACTTTTGGATAGAGCAGAAATGTCCATATACAGTGGGGGAAAAAAGTATTCAGCCACCAATTGTGCAAGTTCTCCCACTTAAAAAGATGAGAGAGGCCTGTAATTTTCATCATAGGTACACGTCAACTATGACAGACAAATTGAGAGAGAAAAAAATCCAGAAAATCACATTGTAGGATTTTTTATGAATTTATTTGCAAATTATGGTGGAAAATAAGTATTTGGTCACCTACAAACAAGCAAGATGTCTGGCTCTCACAGACCTGTAACTTCTTCTTTAAGAGGCTCCTCTGTCCTCCACTCGTTACCTGTATTAATGGCACCTGTTTGAACTTGTTATCAGTATAAAAGACACCTGTCCACAACCTCAAACAGTCACACTCCAAACTCCACTATGGCCAAGACCAAAGAGCTGTCAAAGGACACCAGAAACAAAATTGTAGACCTGCACCAGGCTGGGAAGACTGAATCTGCAATAGGTAAGCAGCTTGGTTTGAAGAAATCAACTGTGGGAGCAATTATTAGGAAATGGAAGACATACAAGACCACTGATAATCTCCCTCGATCTGGGGCTCCACGCAAGATCTCACCCCGTGGGGTCAAAATGATCACAAGAACGGTGAGCAAAAATCCCAGAATCACACGGGGGGACCTAGTGAATGACCTGCAGAGAGCTGGGACCAAAGTAACAAAGCCTACCATCAGTAACACACTACGCCGCCAGGGACTCAAATCCTGCAGTGCCAGACGTATCCCCCTGCTTAAGCCAGTACATGTCCAGGCCCGTCTGAAGTTTGCTAGAGTGCATTTGGATGATCCAGAAGAGGATTGGGAGAATGTCATATGGTCAGATGAAACCAAAATATAACTTTTTGGTAAAAACTCAACTCGTCGTGTTTGGAGGACAAAGAATGCTGAATTGCATCCAAAGAACACCATACCTACTGTGAAGCATGGGGGTGGAAAAATCATGCTTTGGGGCTGTTTTTCTGCAAAGGGACCAGGACGACTGATCCGTGTAAAGGAAAGAATGAATGGGGCCATGTATCGTGGGATTTTGAGTGAAAACCTCCTTCCATCAGCAAGGGCATTGAAGATAAAACGTGGCTGGGTCTTTTCAGCATGACAATGATCCCAAACACACCGCCCGGGCAACGAAGGAGTGGCTTCGTAAGAAGCATTTCAAGGTCCTGGAGTGGCCTAGCCAGTCTCCAGATCTCAACCCCATAGAAAATCTTTGGAGGGAGTTGAAAGTCTGTGTTGCAGCCCCAAAACATCACTGCTCTAGAGGAGATCTGCATGGAGGAATGGGCCAAAATACAAGCAACAGTGTGTGAAAACCTTGTCAAGACTTATAGAAAACGTTTGACCTGTGTCATTGCCAACAAAGGGTATATAACAAAGTATTGAGAAACTTTTGTTATTGACCAAATACTTATTTTCCACCATAATTTGCAAATAAATTCATTAAAAATCCTACAATGTGATTTTCTGGATTTTTTTTCTTCTCATTTTGTCTGTCATAGTTGACGTGTACCTATGATGAAAATTACAGGCCTCTCTCATCTTTTTAAGTGGGAGAACTTGCACAATTGGTGGCTGACTAAAATCTTTTTTTCCCCACTGTATTTTTGTTAGCTGCATGTGTGACACAACTCCACCAGTCCTATTTATGGTATAATTTACAAAGATTATACCGTTTTACATTTTGTTTTCCAAATTTTTGTTTTTATCAATTTATATATTTTGAGTTGAACCATTATTTGTTGTAATATTTGTTCTGTCTTTTCTGGTGGATTAAACTGAAATTGCAACCAACTTTCTATGGCTTGTTTTAAAAATAGCAATATTTTGGAGATTTAATTTTCAAATAACCGAAAGTGAGAGGTTGTAATCGGAATAAAGGAAAAAATACCATACTTGAACAGGGGCAATACATTTACAAAATCAAAAGCTTACCTTGACTTGGAAGAGTTCCAGTGTTGGATAGCCATAGCCAGCTAGCTAACATAGCATCCCTCATTGTTTGACCGGGTGTTTTGAGTAGGCTAAACTAGTAAACTAGCTAAGCTAGTTAAGTAAAAATTGAAAGTTGAAAAATACTACGAAATATAGCTAGCTCGCTCTCTCTCTCCTCTCTTGCTTCTCCTTCATTTTTGAAGAAGTGTATTTGTTCAAAACTGTTCAACTATTGTCTTTCTCTCTCTTTGAGTCAAGTACTCACCACATGTTATGCACTGCAGTGCTAGCTAGCTGTAGCTTATGCTTTCAGTACTAGATTCATTCTCTGATACTTTGATTGGGTGGACAAAATGTCAGTTCATGTGGCAAGAGCTTTTATAGGTTGGAGGACATCTATGGAAGGGGGTGAGAACCATGAGCCTCCTAGATTTTGAATTGAAGTCAATGTACCCAGAGGTGGATGAAAACTAGCTGTTCTCTGTTTACACCATGGTGCAACCTTAGAGTGCTGTTGAGGCTACTGTAGACCATCATTGCAAAACAGTGTGTTTTTAATAAATTATTTGGTGACGTGAATATATTTAGTATAGTTTTATCAAAACATTTACTTTTATGCAATTCACTGAGGAGAATGGTCCTCCTCTGAGGAGCCTCTACCGCTGTCTACCAATATAAAAAATGCAGTTTCCTGAGAACTGGTTTTGAAACGTTCTCAGGCTAGAATTTGTCTCTACATTTATCAAGCCACGGGGTTTGCTGACAGCTTTGCTAGTAATACATCTGGACTTTTTGGGGATGATTTTTGCCAGCTAACCCAGTTAGGTAGGCCTTCAGGTAGGCCTTTTTCAGATATATTCTCTGATTTTGTACTCTAACAAAGCCTCTCCTCTCTGTTGCCAGGTGCCTCTCACAGAGGCAGTGGAGCCGGTGGATTTTGAGGAGTACCTCATCACTCACCCACCTATCATCGAGTCGGGCCCCTTGAGGGACCTGATCGAGTTCCCCCCGGACGACATCGAGGTGGTCTACACCCCCAGAGAGTGTCGCACAGTGGGACAGGCCGTGCCTGAGGAAGGGTAGGTGCTGGACTGGGAGAATACTGACTGGCTGGGTTAGAGTTGGTACTGAGGAACTCAATCAGATCAATCAATCAAATGTATTTAAAGCCTTTTATATCAACAGTTGTCAAAGTGATTTACCTTAGGCAACAAAAACAAAGTACAGCCTACTGAAAAACTGTAAACCAGCTGGAGCGTAGTTGGAATGTACAGTACCATTCAAACGTTTGGACACACCTACTCATTCAAGGGTTTTTCTTTATTTGTACTATGTTCTATTGTAGTAAAAAGTGTTAAACAAATCAAAATATATTTGAGATTCTTCAAAGTAGCCACCCTTTGCCTTGATGACAGCTTTGCACACTCGTGGTATTCTCTCAACCAGCTTCATGAGGTAGTCACCTGGAATGCATTTCAATTAACAGGTGTGCCTTCTTCAAAGTTAATTTGTGGAATTTCTTTCCTTCTTAATGCGTTTGAGCCAATCAGTTGTGTTGTGACAAGGTAGGGGGTTATACAGAAGATAGCCCTATTTGGTAAAAGACCAAGTCCAAATAAGCAAAGAAAAACGACAGTCCATCATTACTTTAAGACATTTAAGACTAAGTCAGTCAATACAGAAGATTTCAAGAACATTGAATGTTTCTTCAAGTGCAGTCGCAAAAAGCATCAAGCGCTATGATGAAACTGGCTCTCATGAGGACCGCCACAGGAATGGAAGACCCAGAGTTACCTCTGCTGCAGAGGATAAGTTAATTAGAGAGTTACCAGCCTCAGATATTGCAGCACAAATAAATGCGTGAATCAGGCCTTCTTGCTCGAATTGTGCAAAGAAACCACTACTAAAGTACACCAATAAGAAGAAGAGACTTGCTTGGGCCAAGAAACACGAGCAATGGACATTAGACCGGTGGAAGTTTGTCCTTTTGGACTGGAGTACAAATTGGAGATTTTGGGTTCCAACCCACGTGTCTTTGTGAGACGCAGAGTAGGTCAACGGATGATGTCCGCATGTGTGGTTCCCACCGTGAAGCATGGAGGAGGAGGCGTGATTGTGTGGGGGTGCTTTGCTGGTGACACCGTCTGTGATTTATTTAGAATTCAAGGCACACTTAACCAGCATGGCTACCATATATATATATATATATATATATATATGTGTATGTATGTATGTATATATATATATTAATATATATGTATATATATGTGTGTATATATATATATATATATATATATATATCTATATATGTGTGTGTATATGTATATGTGTATATATATATTTGTGTATATATATTTGCGAGAAAAAAAAACATATGGGGGATTGCAAGTGATGCAGACAATTACATTGATGGAAGTTACAATCTATCTGAAATATTAAAGCTGATCTACCCCCCCCCCCCCAAAAAAATAAAAAAAGAATAAAAAGAAGAGTGATGTAGTGCTGCATCAGATGACCTGGCCTCCACAATCCCCCGACCTCAACCCAATTGAGATGGTTTGGGATGAGTTGGACCGCAGAGTGAAGGAAAATCAGCCCAAAAGTGCTCAGCATATGTGGGAACTCCTTCAAGACTGTTGGAAAAGCAATCCTCATGAAGCTGGTTGAGAAAATGCTAAGAGTGTGGAAAGCAGTCATCAAGGCAAAGGGTGGCTATTTGAAGAATCTCAAATCTAAAATATATTTTGATTTATTTAACACTTTTTTGGTTACTATATGGTTCCATATGTGTTATTTCATATTTTTGATGTCTTCGCTATTATTCTACAATGTAGAAAATAGTACAATTAAAGAAAAACCCTTGAATGAGTAGATGTTCTAAAACCTTTGACCGGTAGTGTATATATTTTGTAATAATATAATCTTTGAGAACTAACAATCACACAAAATAAAAGCTAGACAGTCTGGGAGAATTCTTAAAAATCTAAACTATGAATTTAGATGTATACAGTTTGTTATTATGTTTGAGAAAAATAACACAGCATTAGCCATGGCAAAATGCATATAATTGCAGGAAATTTGCTTTAAGACTGCTGAACTTTCCCTCAGCTCCATGGTAGAATATGTAGAATCGCAGGAAAAGTTGCTTAAAAACTGCAAAAATGTCTCTCAACTCCATTGAGACAATTGTTGAATTTCAGGAAATCGGCTTAAAAATGCAAAGATTTCTCTACACTGCCAAGATGGGGGCCTCCTAAAATGTTCTCTAAACGGGCCGATCGCGCCACCTGCCACGCCCACCACCTAAGCCCCTTTTTGAACCAGAAAGCCCCCAGAAATAGATATTCAGTAATAGCTCCATCTGCAACATATGAACGTTAAAAGTCACTGAACACATCTGGTGTTGAGGATGAGACTTTGACTGTAATGTGCGGTATCGCTTTGTGTTCTAGGGACAATGACGCCCACGTCAGAGACTGTGTCAGGTCCTACACTGAGGACTGGGCCATCGTCAACAGAAAGTAAGGCTCCTCTCTCTTATTTAGGAAGCGTTTCCTTTTATAAGACCTATTCATTACATCGAAACACCCACATTTTAACCCCTATATTTTACACATTTTTACAATTACGTCTAGCAGCTAGTTATTTATTACACCTCAACACTCGTATTCTGGTCTACTTATTTCAACAGATACCATAAGCTTGGTACTGGGTTTAACCCTAACACCCTGGACAAGCAGAAGGACAGGCAGAAAGGCCTGCCCAAACAGGTGTTTGAGGCTGATGAGATGCCAGACTTTAGCACTTACCAGGACAACCAGGTAACCCATAGCAATGGGGCAGGCGACTAGGTAACCCATAGCAATGGGGCGGTCATCTTACACTTTCATAGGCCCTCCCTAACCTGCGTGTTTGTCCTACCCCAGGATGACCTGAAGCGTAGGTCCATGTCCATAGACGACACTCCGCGTGGCAGCTGGGCCTGCAGTATCTTTGACCTGAAGAACTCTGTCCCCGATGCCCTCCTGCCCCATTTGCTGGACCGAGCCCCCAACGAGGAGATCGACCGGCACAATGGGGAGCACCGCAAGTCCAACCGCCATGGCGAGCTCTTCGCCCTGCACCCCGCCCTCGACGAGGTTGGGACAGAGACACACACACTGCTGTATTTCTCCATAGAGACTTGAGTGCCTTTTGCCGTGTCAGGCCAGCGCTTGGTTTGTCAGGGACTTGTGCATGTCTGTCTCTTCACATTAATGTATATCATCATCCATGATCAGGGTTGCCATGTCCTGTGCTTTTCCCGCAAATTGGGCTAATTTGAAAATGATGTGGCGGGTGAAAATGTATTGGTTGCGGGTTTTTGTCCACTTCTACATTGCACTGCGGCCTCCATGGCAATTTCTTTAAAATATACAGTACCAGTCAAAAGTTTCTTCAAGTGCAGTCGCAAAATCCATCAAGCGCTATGATGAAACTGGCTCTCATGAGGACCGCCACAGGAAAGGATGACCCAGAGTTACCTCTGCTGCAGAGGATAAGTTCATTAGAGTTACCAGCCTCAGAAATTGCAGCCCAAATAAATGCTTCATAGAGTTCAAGTCACAGACACATCTCAACATCAACTGTTCAGAGAAGACTGCGTGAATCAGGCCTTCATGGTCGAATTGCTGCAAATAAATAACTACTAAAGGACACCAATAAGAAGAAGAGACTTGCTTGGGCCAAGAAACACAAGCAATGGTCTGATGAGTCCAAATTTGAGATTTTGGGTTCCAACCGCCGTCGGTTTGTGAGATGCTGAGTAGGTGAAAGGATGATCTCCGCATGTGTGGTTCCCACCATGAGGAATGTAGGAGGAGGTGTGGGGGTGCTTTGCTGATGACACTGTCTGTGATTTATTTAGAATTCAAAGCACACTTAACCAGCATGGCTACCACAGCATTCTGCAGCTTAGTGGGACTATCATTTGTTTTTCAAAAGAACAATGACCCAACACACCTCCAGGCTGTGTAAGGGCTATTTGTCCAAGAAGGAGAGTGATGGAGTGCTGCATCAGATGACCTGGCCTCTATAATCACCCGATCTCAACCCAATTTGAGATGGTGTGGGATGAGTCAGACCGCAGAGTGAAGGAAAAGCAGCCAAAAAGTGCTCAGCATATGTGGGACCTCCTTCAAGACTGTTCTTGTGGGACCTCCTTCAAGAAAACCATTCCAGGTGAAGCTGGTTGAGAGAATGCCAAGAGTGTGCAAAGCTGTCATCAAGGCAAAGGGTGGCTATTTGAAGAATCTCAAATATAAAATATATTTTGATTTGTTTTATACTATTTTGGTTACTACATAATTCCATATGTGTGATTTCATAGTCTTGAGGTCTTCACTAGTATTCTACAATGTAAAATAAAAATAGTAAAAATAAATCAAAACCCTTGAATGAGTAGAAGCGTAGGGTTTTACTCATGCTCGGTTCTTGGGTCTCGAGCGCGAGTGGGAATTTGAAATGGAAGTTATGGAACTACCTCGCGTTCTTCTGTTATGGGGATATTCAGTTAATATCCATATTATTAATATTTGATTCAATGATTGAAATTACGATCCCATCCTCACTAGCCTATTACAGCATCTGAAGCACTTCTTACCTCGAAATCGCCTCGCTATTCATGTTGAATATATTAGTCTGTCAATTTGAACTAAGCAAGCTGCTAAATCGTTCATTTTACATCTTGCCTAGGCTACTTTAGGCTATCTGAAATTAGATGTAGGCCTATCAGGGGCTATAGTCTACCTACATCTAGCTAACCAAACCATGGCAAAGTTGAATTACAATCATGAACCCAGACCCAGGCCTAGCCTATTCCTGTTGAATGACAAGTCGGTCTCGCAAATAGGCCATTTATAACGGTTTGTAGTCTTAACATCTGGCACATAATAACGGTATAATCGCCAGAAAATAGCCTAACATTAGTTTTTTTGAAGTTTAATAATGGTGAATTATCTTTTCTCTTGCTACATATTCAAATTCCTTTATTAGTCACATTAGTTCACGATTATTATTTTGATGGAAAACCAAATTTTGCTTCTTAGGTCGTTAGAAGTTAAGTCTATTCCTTCTTAATTCACTCAATAACGTTATTGAAAAAGGGCTAGTTTTCAGGCCTTGTGGGCGGGTTTTGAGTAATCATTGGGCTATAAATTTTAGCTAGACCTGGCAACCCTGTCGATGATAATGCTGTCACCACAGTCACATCTAACATAGCTTTTTAAAGCGGCCAAAAGTCACGAAGTAGACGCTACTGGTTTCACACTTGAGTGTGAAAATGCGTTTCCTCAGATATAGTGCTTATACACAGCATATTCCAATACATAATGTACCATACAAAAACATTTGTTATTATATTCATGTTTTTCCTATTATTATTATAATTATAATGATTATATATTCTCTGCATCCTCAGGAGGAAGCCATAGAGCGCCACTGTGTGCCTGACGTCCCTACGGAACACTTTGGCCAGAGGTTACTCGTCAAGTGCTTGTCCTTGAAGTAAGTGGGAGAACACACCGACACATTTTAGCTGCACTCTTTGTAACTGCCTTCTGCTTTTTGCTGACCCAATCCTTTTTCCCCATTGAAGGTTTGAGATCGAAATCGAGCCCATATTCGCCATTTTGGCCTTATACGATGTCAAGGAAAAGAAAAAGGTAAGCTGTTATGTTTTCCTCAATGCCACTCGGCCCTGAGTTGTTGGGTCCGTCTCTGAGAAATCATTAAAAGTGGTTGGAGTCCAACATGAACTAGATGACTGGGCTATAAAAGTTTTCGTATGAGACCTGTTATCCTTGTGTGAATGCTCTTTAAATCATACCATGTATCTATATGGGTAACACTCAATCATTGCCCATACGCAACAAACACTAGAGGGGAAGCAGTAACCATTATAAAATAAAGTCACTTCAAGGCCCTCTTCCATGCTCAGTCAATTTACAGTGAACAAATATTTTAGAGTTTTTAGAAACTTATGTGTTGTCAGATTAAGTATTGGTAATGGATTGAGAAATACATTGCACTAACTGATATCAATATCAGACTAGTCTCCTATCTTTTTACACTGTTTATCCAAAATCTCACGTCTCTCTCTCCCGTCAGATATCAGAGAACTTCTTCTTTGACCTGAACTCAGAGCAGACTAAAGGGATGCTGCACTCCCACATTCAGACAGCAGCCATCTCCACCCTAGCCCGCTCAGCCATCTTCTCCATCACATACCCCCCCCAGGACGTCTTCCTCGTCATACAGGTCAGCATCACGCACATTTCTAGAGTTGCAAAATTCCCTAAATGTTTATTTTTTAAATCCAAATCTCTGGGATCAGAAGGGAATAAGATGTAAGGGAATCCTTCAACAGCGATTTCTGAAAAACCAGGGAATTTTTGCAAAGTTAACTTTTGTGACATTAATCACTTCCTGTACATTGGATCTGCCAATATGTGTGTGAGTAATGACTGATAACTTCCCTCCTGTGTTTTGTCTGTCCCCAGCTGGAGAAGGTGTTGCAGCAGGGAGATATAGGCGAGTGTGCAGAGCCCTACATGGTCTTCAAAGAGTCTGACACAGCCAAGGTAAGAGCATTATTAAAAAAACATTCAAATAAGCAATAGACTCAAAGTAATGGTAATCTTTGTGGTGTAGATCTCCAAACCGATGGAGGTAGATGTATTGTCTCCTTCCATATATAGAACAAAGAGAAGTTGGACAAGTTGCGGAGCCAGTCGGAGCAGTTCTGCACACGTCTGGGTCGGTACCGGATGCCCTTCGCCTGGACAGCCATCCACCTGATGAACATCGTGAACAGCGCCGGTAGCCTGGAGAGAGACACTGAGCTGGAGATGGGACTGCCAGGTCAGAACGCTTGGGGATCAATAAAGTTGTGCAGTTGATTTGAACACCACAGAGGACGGCCAGTTCTTCCTGGATGTCAGTGTCAGCTGAGAACAGAACAGGGCCGTGCAGTTGGTCTATATGAGGCATCAGGTGGACATTAGTCATACTGGGGGTAAGGTTGCTGATGGAGAGGTTTTATATACGGGGGGGGGGGGGGGGGGGGTCAAGTCTACGCCGCTTTTCATCAATTGTTAACTTAAACTTTTTTATCATATGAATGTAGAGGCTTGTCTATATGATTACCTTTGACCTTGTGATGTAATGATGATTCTGTAACTCTGACCCTGGCTGTGGCTTTCTGTTGCCCCCCCCCCAGAGAGGAAAGGTTCATGGTCGGAGAGGAGGAACTCAAGCATTGCGGGCCGGCGCTCCCTAGAGAGGACCACCAGTGGAGACGAGTCATGTAGTCTGACCAGCTTCAGACCTGCTACCCTCACCGTCACCAACTTCTTTAAACAGGAGGGGGACAGGTTGAGTGATGAGGACCTGTATAAGTTTTTAGCTGACATGAGGAGGCCGTCTTCTGTACTGAGGAGACTGAGACCTATCACAGGTACAGTAACACCAACCACCACCATCATCAGCACTACTCACTGCGTCAATAAACACAATCGTTTGAATTAAATCACCATATCAATCCATTAACTAGAAAAGGACATTTCCTGAAGTAAATGTGGTGTGCTTGCTAGTCTTGAAGTATTTCTGGTTGTGAGATAGTATTAGTAGTGGTAGTGACGGCAGTAGTAATGGTAGTAGTTGTAGGTAGTAATAGAGTTTTCATAGGCTATGTGTTAGTTATAGTGACCTATTTTGGGGTGGTTTGTAGGTGTGGAGTTATTATAGTGTGTTATAGTCGGATAATATAGTAGGCTAGAGTGAGTACTACACTGAGTGTACAAAACATTAGGAACACCGGCGCTTTCCATGACAGACTGACCAGGTGAATCCGGATGAAAGCTATGATCCCTTATTGATGTCACTTGTTAAATCCACTTCAATCAGTGTAGATGAAGTGGAGGAGTGAAGTTAAATAAGGTTTTTTAAGCCTTGAGACAATTGAGACATGGATTGTGTGCTATTGAGGGTGAATGTGCAAGACAAAAGATTTAAGTGCCTTTGAACGTGGGTATGGTAGTAGGTGCCAGGTGCACCGGTTTGAGTGTGTCAAGAACTGCAATGCTGCTGGGTTTTTCATGCTCAACACTATCTAGTGTGTATCAAGAATGGTCCACCACCCAAAGGACATCCAGCCAACTTGACACAACTGTGGGAAGCATTGAAGTCAACATGGGCCAGCATCCCTGTAGAATGAATTGGAACAAATTGAGGCTGTTCTGAGGGCAAAAGGGCAAAAGGGGGTGCAACTCAATACTACTTTCCTGCAACCCGCCTCACTCAATGTGGAACGGATTCTATTATTGACTTACCTTTTATCTAGAATCTCCAGTTGAAACTAGCTAGCCAGCTAACTAGCTACTTGCTAGTAGCCACAGTTAGCGGTATTTCACCCAGAACATTGGATTTTTCTGCCGGAATAATTTAATCACTGGACATTAATCACCGGATCGCAACTAGCTAGCCGCAACCGAATGGATGTTGCTGTTTGGCTAATCACCACTGCCCCCGATGCAAGCACCAATTAGCCTCGAGCTAGCCTAGAGCCAGGCCCATATCCCGGCTATCTACCTCTCGGTCTACTGGAAGGAAGTAGCCAGCTAACTAGCTACTTGCTATCAGCTACCGTTATCGGTTTTTCACCATTGTCCGTGGCCTGCACCACCTACCAGCCAGCTCTAGCCTGGACTATTATTCGGCCAGTCTGCACTGTCTGCACAGCGCGTTATCGACCCAGAACATATCAGTTTTTCTGCCGGAATCACTGAATCACTGGACCTTTAACTCTGGATTCATCGCTACCAGCTAGTTGCAACAAAATGGACGTTGTGGTTTGGCTAATCATCCTGAGCTAGGCCCATCTCCCGGCTATCTACCTCTCTGTCAACCGGACGGGACCACCTACTGTTGACACGGAGCCCCGCCGATCCTACACGACTGGTCTGCTGACGAAATCGTCTGATGTGGTTACAACAGGCTTCCCGTTACGACGTCGACCACGAAGATTCCATCTGCTAGCCCCGGCCCGCTAGCACACGCTAGCCGTGGCCTCTTGCGCGCTAGTGCTTTAGCAGCCCCCGAACTATCCTATTGCTGTTCACCGGACCTTATGATAACTCAGCTATACAGCTGATGCCTGCTGGACTGTTCCTTTTTACGGTACCGCATCCTGTTTATGTTTAGCCTCAGCCCAAACTGTGTCGTCATTACCAGCTGTTGTCTTAGCTCTCTCAAATTACACCTGTGATTGCTTTACGCCTCTCTCCCTTGTCAATATGGTTAGCTTATTGTTGTTTCGGTTATTTCTAATTGTACTATTTCACTGTAGATCCCCCAGCCCAGCTAAACCTGCCTTAGATAGCTCCTTTGTCCCACCCCCCATACACGCGGAGACCGACTCAATTGGTGCCTCCAGTGATGCTATCTCTTTCATTGTTACCCAACGCTTAGGTTTACCTCCACTTTACTCATATCCTTCCATATCCTTGTCTGTACATAATGCCCTGAATCTTTTCTACAACGCCCGGAAATCTGCCCCCTTTATTCTATGTACCCAACGCACTAGAAGACCAGTTCTTAAAGCCTTTAGCCGTATCCTTATTCTAGTCCTCCTCTGTTCCTCTGGTGATGTAGAGGCTAACCCAGGCCCTGCAGCCCTCAGTATCACTCCTACTCCCCAGGCGTTATCATTTGTTGACTTCTGTAATCGTAAAAGCCTTGGATTCTTGCACGTTAATATCCGAAGCCTCCTTCCTAAGTTTTAGTTATTCACTGCGTTAGCACACTCCGCCAACCCTGATGTTCTAGCAGTGTCTGAATCCTGGCTTAGGAAGGCCACCTAAAATTCTGAAATTTCCATCCCCAACTATAACATTTTCCGTCTAGATAGAACTGCCAAAGGGGGTGGAGTTGCAATCTACTGTAGAGAGAGCCTGCAGAGCTCTATCATACTATCCAGGTCTGTGCCCAAACAGTTTGAGCTTCTACTTCTAAAAATCCACCTTTCCAGAAATAAGTCTCTCACTGTTGCCGCTTGCTACAGACCCCCCTCAGCCCCCAGCTGTGCCCTGGACACCATATGTGAATTGATTGCCCCCCATCTATCCTCAGAGTTCGTACTGCTTGGTGACCTAAATTGGGATATGCTTAACACCCCGGCCATCCTACAATCCAAACTAGATGCCCTCAATCTCACACAAATTATCAACGAACCTACCAGGTACAACCCTAAATCCGTAAACATGGGTACCCTCATAGATATCATCCTGACTAACTTACCCTCTAAATACACCTCCGCTGTCTTCAACCAGGATCTCAGCGATCACTGCCTTATTGCCTGCGTCCGTAACGGGTCCGCGGTCAAACGACCACCCCTCATCACTGTCAAACGCTCCCTAAAACACTTTAGCGAGCAGGCCTTCCTAATTGACCTGGCCCAGGTATCCTGGATGGATATAGATCTCATTCCGTCAGTAGAGGATGCCTGGTTGTTCTTTAAAAGTAATTTCCTCTCAATCCTAAATAAACATGCCCCATTCAAAAAATACAGAACTAAGAACAGATATAGCCCCTGGTTCTCCTCAGACTTGACTGCCCTTGACCAGCACAAAAACATCCTGTGGCGTACTGCATTAGCATCAAATAGCCCCCGCGATATGCAACTTTTCAGGGAAGTTAGGAACCAATATACACAAGCAGTCAGGAAAGCAAAGGCTAACTTTTTCAAACAGAAATTTGCATCCTGTAGCACTAACTCCAAAAAGTTTTGGGACACTGTAAAGTCCATGGAGAATAAGAGCACTTCCTCCCAGCTGCCAACTGCACTGAGGCTAGGAAACACTATCACCACCGATAAATCTACAATAATCGAGAATTTCAACAAGCATTTTGCTACGGCTGGCCATGCTTTCCACCTGGCTACCACTACCCCGGCCACCAACTCTGCACCCTCCGCTGCAACTTGCCCATGCCCCCCCCCGCTTCTCCTTCACACAAATTCAGACAGCTGATGTTCTGGAAGAGCTGCAAAATCTGGACCCCTACAAATCAGCTGGGCTAGACAATCTGGACCCTTTCTTTCTAAAACTAGCCGCCGAAATTGTCGCAACCCCTATTACTAGCCTGTTCAACCTCTCTTTCATAACGTCTGAGATCCCCAGAGATTGGAAAGCTGCCGCGGTCATCCCCCTCTTCAAAGGGGGTGACACTCTAGATCCAAACTGTTACAGACCTATATCCATCCTGCCCTGCCTTTTTTTTTAAACTTGAAAGCCAAGTTAACAAACAGATCACCGACCATTTCGAATCCCACCGTACCTTCTCCGCTATGCAATCCGGTTTCCGAGCTGGTCATGGGTGCACTTCAGCCACGCTCAAGGTCCTAAACGATATTATAACCGCGATCGATAACAGACAGTACTGTGCAGCCGTCTTCATCGACCTGGCCAAGGCTTTCGACTCTGTCAACCACCGCATTCTTATTGGCAGACTAAATAGCCTTGGTTTCTCAAATGACTGCCTCGCCTGGTTCACCAACTACTTCTCAGATAGAGTTCAATGTGTCAAATTGGAGGGCCTGTTGTCTGGACCTATGGCAGTCTCTATGGGGGTGCCACAGGGTTCAATTCTTGGGCCGACTCTTTTCTCCGTGTATATCAATGATGTCGCTCTTGCTGCTGGTGACTCTCAGATCCACCTCTACGCAGACGACACCATTTTGTATACATCTGGCCCTTCATTGGACACTGTGTTAACAAACCTCCAAACGAGCTTCAATGCCATACAACACTCCTTCAGTAGCCTCCAACTGCTCTTAAACACTAGTAAAACTAAATGCATGCTCTTCAATCGAACGCTGCTGGCACCCGCCCACCCGACTAGAATCACTACTCTCGACGGGTCTGACCTAGAGTATGTGGACAACTACAAATACCTAGGTGTCTGGTTAGACTGTAAACTCTCCTTCCAGACTCACATTAAGAATCTCCAATCCAAAGTTAAATCTAGAATCGGCTTCCTATTCCGCAACAAAGCCTCCTTCACTCATGCTGCCAAACATGCCCTCGTAAAACTGACTATCCTACCGATCCTTGACTTCGGCGATGTCATTTACAAAATAGCCTCCAACACTCTACTCAGCAAATTGGATGTAGTCTATCACAGTGCCATCCGTTTTGTCACCAAAGCCCCATACACTACCCACCACTGTGACCTGTACGCTCTTGTTGGCTGGTCCTCACTACATGTTCGTCGTCAAACCCACTGGCTCCAGGCCATCTATAAATCACTGCTAGGCAAATCCCCGCCTTATCTTAGCTCATTGGTCACCATAGCAGCACCCACCCGTAGTCTGCGCTCCAGCAGGTATATCTCACTGGTCATCCCCAAAGCCAACACCTCCTTTGGCCGCCATTCCTTCCAGTTCTCTGCTGCCAATGACTGGAACGAATTGCAAAAATCTCTGAAGCTGGAGACTCTTATCTCCCTCACTAACTTTAAGCATCAGTTGTCAGAGCACCTTACCGATCACTGCACCTGTACACAGCCCATCTGAAATTAGCCTACCCAACTACCTCATCCCTATATTGTTATTTTTTATTTTGCTCTTTTGCACCCCAGTATCTCTATTTGCACATCTAGCATTCCAGTGTTAATAATAATTGTAATTATTTTTGCACTATAGCCTATTTATTGCCTTACCTCCATAACTTGCTACATTTGCACACACTGTATATATATTTTCTGTTGTATTTTTTTTTTGACTTTATGTATTTTTACCCCATATGTAACTCTTTGTTGTTGTTTTTATCGCACTACTTTGCTTTATCTTGGCCAGGTCGCAGTTGTAAATGAGAACTTGTTCTCAACTGGCTTACCTGGTTAAATAAAGGTGAAATAAAATAAAATAAAATTAGGAAGATGTTCCTAATGTTTTGTCCACTCAGTGTATATCATCAAGTCATATATTGTGTTTTTAAGCTCTCAAAATGTTTTCGTTTGAACATTCTGGAAGTTTTGTGGCAGTGATTTCAGTTCAGAATGTTGAAGCCTGCATTTCGCCATTGAAATATGTGGGGATACAACATGCATTATAGTTTATGATATAGGAATGGTAGGAAAAAAGTGTTCAAGCCAACTAAGTTGAGTCAGTCTGCACATGTCAACGTTGGGATGGTGTTTGTATCAAGAGTAGTGGTGAATCCACGTTTTGCCTTTTGAAGTCTATGGCGCTTTTATGCAAATTTGAAACGGTTATAGTTCAAAAAGTACAAATAGCAGTTGAGTCAGTGTGTACATGTCAACGTTGGTTTAGTGTTTGTAGCTTTAATAATCATAATATATGACATTTAGCAGGCGCTTTTATCCAAAGCGAATTAGTCATGCATGCATACATTTTAAATATGGGTGGTCCTGGGAATCGAACCCACTATCCTGGCGTTAGAAGCGCCATGCTCTACCAACTGAGCTACAAACAGTTCAAAAGCTGTGGCGAATCCAAATACTTCCCATTCAAGTTTATGGAGCTTTTATGCACATTTACAAATGGCACTGTTCTAAGCAATCTTGTATCTTTACCATTTTAAGCCAACCACGGGTCTATTTTATATAGAGGGTTACCTACTGATCATAGCGTGTTTGTGTTAGAGACTCTGTCTGATCTGAAATCCCGCAGCTGTGGCCTTGGACTGTTTCATGTAAATGTCTAAAGTTTGATTTTGAAAATTGATCTTATTGTAGTTCTGGCTTCTCAAACCAAGGCAGACATTTTGATAATTATTGAGACTTAGTTCAAAAGAATTGTGCCAGACTCTGATGTGTCTCTGAATGGATCCAATGTTTATAAAGCTGGCAGTGGTGGGGGTGTCGCCATATTCATAAAGAACTATTTGAATGTTGCTGTGTGTATTACCACCTCTGTCCCCAAACGATTTGAACGTCTTGTCCTAAATGTGGGCCTTGGTAATAATGCCCAACTAACGTTAGTGAGTTTATCGCCCTCCCAATTGCTCTTAGCAAATTATTTGACTTGCTGTCTAACTGCTAAATCTGAATTATTAATATTGGGTGATCGTAACCTGGATTGGTTGATGCCGGTATCAGATAGACTGAAAGATATTTATACTGAGCTAAATTTGACTAAACTAAACCCACCCGCCCCAACTTAAAACACCCTGAAAAATCAACTATTTTGGATATCATTCTGACAAACACCCTTCGTAAGTATGCAGCCAATGGAATTTTTGCTAACGTGCTCAGTGACCACTGTCCCATTGCCTCCATTAGAGATACTAAGCTACCTAAATCACTTTCACGCATTATTACAAAGATACATTTTAGAACTTTCAATGAACATTTCCTGTATGGCCTGGGGGTTGTATGATTGGGAGGGTGTGTCCTCTCGCTGATTCAGATCAGGCCCTTAAATGTTTTATCTCTCTGTTTAACTCTGTTGCAGATAAGCATGCCCCATATACATGATTAAGGGTAAAGGACAGATCTAACCGATGGTTCATGCATGAATTGTCTAAAAGAATTCATGAAATATACTATGGTTGGGTGGTCTCCAGATTTTCAAACTGTTTCTGTACCATACCGTGGTATATGGTATTACAAGGTGTGCAATTTTAACAAAAAAATAAATATAATAACAATAATATTTATTTTATTTTTACGTACAAAAAAATGTAGGCAACAGGGATCTTGATCCAGGAGGGGATTGCATGTCTCTGCTGTAACCAAGAAGCTTGATCTTGACATCTAGCCTTTTAGCTAGCAAGTTAGCAAACCAAATGCATAGCTAAAGCCCTTAGCTGAATATAATTTATTTGACACATCTTGGATTTCTTATAGTTATACTTAACTTATAAGCAGAAGCGTAGCATGCACCCCCCAAAAAAATATTAATTATATATCCAACAAAATGTCACGTAGGGCCCCCAAAAGGCTATGGCCGGCTCTGTATGGATGTGGGTATGCAGACCCGCAAGCCACTGTGTCCCATCATGATGAGTTTAGATTTTGTGTGGTCCCCACTCCCATCAAAGTTACCCATCCCTGCACTAGAGGGAGTCCTTTATTAACCTCTAAACAGATAGTAGAGAATGATGCACTTCTAGGCACAAATTTTTATTTCTTCATTTGAACCATTTTATGTCAATGATATACAACAAATGTATGTAAAATAATCCACAGGAGCTGATTCGCTTGATCCTTTTTTACTGCAGCTTTCTGCCTTCCTCATTGTAGAACCATTTTTTATTTAGCTATTGCTTCTGGTGCTATCCCTAAGATCTGGAAGGCGGCGCATATCCTCCCCCTTCACAAAGCGGGGATCCTTCTGACCTAGATAACTGCTGCCCAATTTCTAAGCTACTGTATCTTGCCTTGCAAAAATATTACAATCGGTGGCAAAAAAGATAATACTTTTTTTACTTCAAATTATATTCTTAATGTGCACCAGTCTGGTTTTAGACCTGGATATAGCACCTTTTCAACAGCTACGCTTGTCTTAAATTGTGTTAAGTTGCTTAGATCATAGGAATTACTGTGCTGCCATATTTATAGACCTATCCAATGCCTTTTGGTACTGTTGACCATCCCCTACTCATTCAAAGGTTGTCTGAAATGGGTTTCGACCAATCGTCTTGCAAGTGGTTTGGGAACTGTCAAACAGGACACAATGTGTGCTTTCTGATGGTTTCAAGTCAAGTTACCTCGGTATTACTAAAGGTGTCCCGCAGTGGTCGATTTTGTGACCTGTCCTCTTTACTATTTACAATGCATTCGGAAAGTATTCAGACCCCTTGAGTTTTTCCACTTTGTTACGTTACAGCCTTGTTCTAAAATTGATTAAATATTTTTTTATTCCATCAATCTACACACAATACCCCATAATGACAAAGTGAAAACAGGTTGTAGAATTTTTTTCACATTTAGTAAAAATTAAAAACAGATACCTTATTTACACAAGTATTAAGACCCTTTGCTATGAGACTCGAAATTGAGCTCGGGTGCATCCTGTTTCCATTGGTCATCCTTGATGGTTTCTACAGCTTGATTGGCATCCACCTGTGGTAAATTCAATTGTTTGGACATGATTTGGAAAGGCACACACTTGTCTATATAAGGTCCCACAGTTGACAGTCCATGTCAGAGCAAAAACCAAGCCATGAGGTCAAAGGAATTGTCCGTAGAGCTCGGAGACAGGATTGTGTCGAGGCACAGATCTGGGGAAGGGTACCAAAAATTTTTTGCAGCATTGAAAGTCATGAATAACAGTGGCCTACATCATTCTTACATGGAAGAAGTTTGGAACCACCAAGACTCTTCCTAGAGCTGGCCGCCCAGCCAAACTGAGCAATCGCGGGAGAAGGGCCTTGGTTAGGGAGTTGATGGTTGCTCTTACAGAGCTCCAGAGTTCCTGTGTGGAGATGGGAGAACCTTCCAGAAGGACAACCATCTCTGCAGCACTCCACCAATCAGGCCTTCATGGTGGAGTGGCCAGACGGAAGCCACTCCTCAGTAAAAAGGCACATGACAGCCTGCTTGGAGTTTGCGAGAAGGCACCTAAAGGACTCCAAGATTGAACTCTTTGGCCTGAAAGCGTCACGTCTGGCGGAAACCTGGCACCTCTACGGTGAAGCATGGGGGTGGCAGCATCATGCTGTGGGGATGTTTTTCAGCGGCAGAGACTGGGAGACTAGTCAGGATTGAGGGAAAGATGAACGGAGCGAAGTACAGCGAGATCCTTGAAGAAAACCTGCTCCACAGCACTCAGGACCTCAGACTGGGGCGAAGGTTCACCTTCCAACAGGACAACAACCCTAAGCACACAGCCAAGACAACGCAGGAGTGGTTTCGGGACAAATATCTGAAAGTCTCTGAGTGGCCCAGCCAGAGCCCAGACTTGAACCCCATTGAACATCTCTGGAAAGACCTGAAAATAGCTGTGCAGCGACGCTCCCCATCCAACCTGATAGAGCTTGAGAGGATCTACAGAGAAGAACGGGAGAAACTCCCCAAATACAGGTGTGCCAGGCTTGTAGCGTCATACCCAAGAAGACTCAAGGCTGTAATCGCTGCCAAAGGTGCTTCAACAAAGTACTGAGTAAAGGGTCTGAATACTTATGTAAATGTGATATTTCCATTATTATATTATTTTTTTACATTTGCTAAAATTTCAAAAACGGTTTTTACTTTGTCATTATGGGGTATACTGTGTAGTTTATGAGGAAAAATAACGATTTCATCCATTTTAGAATAAGGCTGTAATTTAACAAAATGTGGAAGAAGTCAAGGGGTCTGAATACTTTCCGAATGCACTGTATATATAAATAATTTTAGTCTCATGCAGATGACACTCTTTATGTACGCTATTGCCCCTATTGCTGTCTATGTTAGAGCTGCAATCTGATTTTGTTGCCTTGTAGAAAGCCCTTGTTGATTTTAAAATTGGTACTTAATGCGGGAAAAACGAAATATGTTGTTGGTTTACACATTTATGCATTGGATGGTTCTCTCATCGAGCAGGTTCCCACCCATAAATATCTGGGCTTTTTGATTTATAAAAATGTGACGTTTAAAAAAAACATACGGATGAGCTAGTTAAGAACGGGAGATTTTAAAGTAGGCTTCTTTAATAGAAATTGATCATGCCTCTCCCAAAACAGCAGGAAACAGGTTGTACAGTCAACTTTCCTGCCATTTCTTGATTAATGGTGGCACCATTTATCAGAATGCAGCAGCCACTACTCTAAAACCCTTGGATGCCGTCTACCATAGAGCCCTTCGCTTTATCACAGGTGACAGGTTTAATACGCATCACTGCATCCTTTATCAAAAGGTCGGCTGGACCTCTCTAAATTCTCGTAGATCACTTCATTGCTCCCTTTTGGTTTACAAAGCTCTGCTGTACAAGCTTCCAACATGTCTCACTTTTCTGTTAAAGTAATAAACTAAGAGGCACCAAACCCGCTCAGAGGTTTGGTTAACTCTTGAGGTCCCTCGTGTCTCTACCAACCTAGGTAAATCAGCCTTTAGTTTTAACGCCCCCCATGTTTGGAATTATTTACAATCCTCATTATGTCTTGAATCGATGGTGCCAATAGGGCGGTTTTAGAATGCTGATAAGGAATGAATTCACTGAGGTTTGCGAGTGTTTTGGTTGATTTGTAATAATTTATTTGTGTTGTAATGTATCTTGTAGTTTCTTTTTTTGCTGTTTTATTGAATTATATTGGTTGATTTGTGAATTGTTTGTTCTCATTACACCATTGAGAATGAGACACTGGTCTCCATTGGTTTTCCCTGAATAAAGAAAAGTGAAATAAAAAATACAACAGTTATAATTCAAATGGTATCAAAGCTGTATACAACCTATTCCCGACCGCTCATTAAAGTATGAATGGCGTTTCTAGCTGAAAAGGTGGAAGGCTGGTTACGACTGGAATGTTTCTTGTTGAAGTCTATGGCCATTGAAATGCATTGGGGTTTATGCAAATATGGTTGTAGTGTGAAAAGTATAAGTAGTATCTAAAAGCACACTGACCAGTGCCAGTATTTATTCAAGCACACTGACCAGTGTTTTGGTGTTGGTAGCTTTTACAGTTTTAGTGCTAGAGGTTCCAGCGCAACAACAATAATAATAATAATAATAATAATAATAATAATATGAACAGTTTCTAAAGTTGTACCTCTGCTTTCAGCAAGCACACCTAATTACTTACGTCAGGCTTTTTCAAAGTCTGAGACAGAAAAATATATTCTATTAATTTCTAAAATAAATCCAGTAGTTGCAATTAAACTGTTGGAGAACTACATTTATAAGTGTACACTGTCCTGATTGAAGTAATTAATCCCGAGACCCCAGCAAAAATTGGCTTTTTATTTATGACTTTCCAGTACTTATATTTAGCCTCACAATTAAGTGTTTTACCATTTTATTTTCAGGACAGCCAGGTCTACAAGCAGAACACAAAATAATTTGACATAAGTTACAGTGAGGAAGAAAAGTATTTAGTCAGCCACCAATTGTGCAAGTTTTCGCACTTAAAAAGATGAGAGAGGCCTGTAATTTTCATCATAGGTACACGTCAACTATGACAGACAAATTGAGAAAAATAATCCAGAAAATCACATTGTAGGATTCTTTATGAATTTATTTGCAAATTATGGTGGAAAATAAGTATTTGGTCAATAACAAAAGTTTCTCAATACTTTGTTATATACCCTTTGTTGGCAATGACACAGGTCAAATGTTTTCTGTAAGTCTTCAAGGTTTTCACACACTGTTGCTGGTATTTTGGCCCTTTCCTCCATGCAGATCTCCTCTAGAGCATTGATGTTTTGGGGCTGTCGCTGGGCAACACGGACTTTCAACTCCCTCCAAAGATTTTCTATGGGGTTGAGATCTGGAGACTGGCTAGGCCACTCCAGGACCTTGAAATGCTTCTTACGAAGCCACTCCTTCGTTGCCCGGGCGGTGTGTTTGGGATCATTGTCATGCTGAAAGACCCAGCCACGTTTCATCTTCAATGCCCTTGCTGATGGAAGGAGGTTTTCACTCAAAATCTCACGATACATGGCCCCATTCATTCTTTCCTTTACACGGATCAGTCGTCCTGGCCCCTTTGCATAAAAACAGCCCCAAAGCATGATGTTTCCACCCCCATGCTTCACAGTAGGTATGGTGTTCTTTGGATGCAACTCAGCATTCTTTGTCCTCCAAACACAACGAGTTGAGTTTTTACCAAAAAGTTATATTTTGGTTTCATCTGACCATATGACATTCTCCCAATCCTCTTCTGGATCATCCAAATGCACTCTAGCAAACTTCAGACGGGCCTGGACATGTACTGGCTTAAGCAGGGGGACACGTCTGGCACTGCAGGATTTGAGTCCCTGGCGGCGTAGTGTGTTACTGATGGTAGGCTTTGTTACTTTGGTCCCAGCTCTCTGCAGGTCATTCACTAGGTCCCCCCGTGTGGTTCTGGGATTTTTGCTCACCGTTCTTGTGATCATTTTGACCCCACGGGGTGAGATCTTGCGTGGAGCCCCAGATCGAGGGAGATTATCAGTGGTCTTGTATGTCTTCCATTTCCTAATACCAAGCTGCTTACCTATTGCAGATTCAGTCTTCCCAGCCTGGTGCAGGTCTACAATTTTGTTTCTGGTGTCCTTTGACAGCTCTTTGGTCTTGGCCATAGTGGAGTTTGGAGTGTGACTGTTTGAGGTTGTGGACAGGTGTCTTTTATACTGATAACAAGTTCAAACAGGTGCCATTAATACAGGTAACGAGTGGAGGACAGAGAAGCCTCTTAAAGAAGAAGTTACAGGTCTGTGAGAGCCAGAAATCTTGCTTGTTTGTAGGTGACCAAATACTTATTTTCCACCATAATTTGCAAATAAAATCATAAAAAATCCTACAATGTGATTTTCAGGAATTATTTTCCTCAATTTGTCTGTCATAGTTGACGTGTACCTATGATGAAAATTACAGGCATCTCTCATCTCAAGTGGGAGAACTTGCACAATTGGTGGCTGACTAAATACTTTTTTCCCCCACTGTACATTCATGATTATTATTGACAAATGTCAACAAATTATAAAAAAGTTTTTCAAAGCAAAAACCTGATTTAAAAAAATAAATAAATGAATTTATATGTACAGAAATGTATTCTTTTAGAAATTGTTTGCTCAGTGGGAAATTAATATCGAACTAGTCGGTGACAACTGTTTGGAGTTTGACAGCAACTATGTGAGCTTATTACAGTATTATAGACACTATGTCCTGGGATTTCCTATGATCTTCTATGTAGAAGAAACCCTTACCTTCTAACGACTCTTGTGTAGCTTGTGAGCACCATAGAGCAAAACATGTTACTTGTTCATGAGTGTCTCGGCTCTTCATAGATCACTTTTAATAGTTTGTAGCTCAAACCATTCGAACTCTAAACACGTTTTTGTAAAAAGGCTCTAACTCAGCATCCATTAATCACACAGACTAATGGTTGGTATCAATGGATGCAGAACAAATAGACAAATCCAATGGTAGAACACAGAAGTATGTGTTGTGAAGGGGTTAGAAGTCCAAAACACACCAGCGTAGGAGTTACATCATAGTCTGCACAACCTAATTAACATGCAACGGACCTATTAAAAAGGAAATCATTAAAAGTGCTTTCAGAATATCCAGGTAATTATTATTTAATCTGAAAAAAAAAAGTATTTTGGTTTCTATTACAAAGTATGTCTGGTATTTTTAAAATGCCGCTGCCCCTTTAAGAGCTCTGTTGAGCAGTTTAGCCTAACCATGCTACAAACTGGTTGTATATGAATCATTTTTATGATGCCATGTGCACAATTTTAGGAGTTGAGAAATAAATGTGGTAGCACTGGAAAGCTGGGACACCCCTCTTTTTAAATGTACCCATCAAATCTGCTTTAAATTGTGTGTTTTCCCTGCGATGGTAGATAGAAACAGGCCTAATATTTATTCATTATTAGAGAACAGAATACAGTTTGACTTTCCTTTCACGCCTCCACTGAAACTCTCTGGCGCCCCACACTCTGGCGCCCCTCTGATTTACATAATCCTCTACATTTCTGTGTGGAACATATGACTTCCACTGAGAGAGCACCACTGCCATATCAGTCCGTTAGGCTTAGACATTCATTGAGGTGTAGAGCTCTGTGTGTGATGTTGTTTACCCTGTCTTGTTCCCTCCAGCCCAGCTGAAGATTGACATCTCCCCGGCCCCAGAGAACCCCCACTACTGCTTGACCCCTGACCTCCAGCAGGTCAAGCCCTACCCAGACGGCAGGGTCCGCCCCACCAGGGAGATACTGGAGTTCCCGCCCAGGGACGTCTACGTACCAAACACCACCTACAGGTAATGAAACAATACCACTTACATTACCTAGCTAGCATTAACCAACACCACCTACAGGTAATGAAATAATACCACTTACTATACATTACCTAGCTTGCATTACCCAACACCACCTACAGGTAATGAAACAATACCACTTACAGTACATTCGGAGAGTATTCAGACCCCTCAACTTTTCCCCCCACTTTATGTTAAAGCCTTATTCTAAAATTGATTTAAAAATATATACAGTGGGGAGAACAAGTATTTGATACACTGCCGATTTTGCAGGTTTTCCTACTTACAAAGCATGTAGAGGTCTGTAATTTTTATCATAGGTACACTTCAACTGTGAGAGACGGAATCTAAAACAAAAATCCAGAGAATCACATTGTATGATTTTTAAGTAATTAATTTGCATTTTATTGCATGACATAAGTATTTGATTCATCAGAAAAGCAGAACTTAATATTTGGTACAGAAACCTTTGTTTGCAATTACAGAGATCATACGTTTCCTGTAGGTCTTGACCAGGTTTGCACACACTGCAGCAGGGATTTTGGCCCACTCCTCCATACAGACCTTCTCCAGATCCTTCAGGTTTCGGGGCTGTCGCTGGGCAATACAGACTTTCAGCTTCCTCCAAAGATTTTCTATTGGGTTCAGGTCTGGAGACTGGCTAGGCCACTCCAGGACCTTGAGATGCTTCTTACGGAGCCACTCCTTAGTTGCCCTGGCTGTGTGTTTCAGGTCGTTGTCATGCTGGAAGACCCAGCCACGACCCATCTTCAATGCTCTTACTGAGGGAAGGAGGTTGTTTGCCAAGGTCTCGCGATACATGGCCCCATCCATCCTCCCCTCAATACGGTGCAGTCGTCCTGTCCCCTTTGCAGAAAAGCATCCCCAAAGAATGATGTTTCCACCTCCATGCTTCATGGTTGGGAAGGTGTTCTTGGGTTTGTACTCATCCTTCTTCTTCCTCCAAACACGGCGAGTGGAGTTTACACCAAAAAGCTCTATTTTTGTCTCATCAGACCACATGACCTTCTCCCATTCCTCCTCTGGATCATCCAGATGGTCATTGGCAAACTTCAGACGGGCCTGGACATGCGCTGGCTTGAGCAGGGGGACCTTGCGTGCGCTGCAGGATTTTAATCCATGACGGCGTAGTGTGTTACTAATGGTTTTCTTTGAGACTGTGGTCCCAGCTCTCTTCAGGTCATTGACCAGGTCCTGCCATGTAGTTCTGGGCTGATCCCTCACCTTCCTCATGATCATTGATGCCCCACGAGGTGAGATCTTGCATGGAGCCCCAGACCGAGTGTGATTGACCGTTATCTTGAACTTCTTCCATTTTCTAATAATTGCGCCAACAGTTGTTGCCTTCTCACCAAGCTGCTTGCCTATTGTCCTGTAGCCCATCCCAGCCTTGTGCAGGTCTACAATTTTATCCCTGATGTCCTTACACAGCTCTCTGGTCTTGGCCATTGTGGAGAGGTTGGAGTCTGTTTGATTGAGTGTGTGGACAGGTGTCTTTTATACAGGTAACGAGTTCAAACAGGTGCAGTTAATACAGGTAATGAGTGGAGAACAGGAGGGCTTCTTAAAGAAAAACTAACAGGTCTGTGAGAGCCGGAATTCTTACTGGTTGGTAGGTGATCAAATACTTATGTCATGCAATAAAATGCAAATTAATTACTTAAAAATCATACAATGTGATTTTCTGGATTTTTGTTTTAGATTCCGTCTCTCACAGTTGAAGTTGTACCTATGATAAAAATGTAAGACCTCTACATGCTTTGTAAGTAGGAAAACCTGCAGAATCGGCAGTGTATCAAATACTTGTTCTCCCCACTGTATATATATATCATTAATCTCCACACAATCCCCCATAATGACAAATCTAAAACAGGTTTTTAGAATGTTTTGCAAATGTATAAAAAAACAGAAACCTTATTTACATAAGTATTCTGACCCTTTGCTATGAGACTCGAAATTGAGCTCAGGTACATCCTGTTTCCATTTATCATCCTTGATGTTTCTACAACTTGATTGGAGTCCACCTGTGGTAAATTCAATTGTTTGGATATTATTTGGATTGTGTCAAGTCACAGATCTGGGGAAGGGTACCAAAACATGGGCGGCACACAATTGGCCCAGCGTCGTCCAGGGTAGGGGAGGGAATGGCCGGCAGGGATGTAGCTCAGTTGATAGAGCATGGCGTTTGCAACGCCAGGGTTGTGGGTTCGATTCCCACGGGGGGCCAGTATAAAAAAAATATGTATTCACTAACTGTAAGTCGCTCTGGATAAGAGCGTCTGCTAAATGACTAAAATGTAAATGTAAAAAACATTTCTGCAGCATTGAAGGTCCCCAAGAACACAGTGGCCTCCATCAGTCTTAAATGGAAGAAGTTTGGAACCACCAAGACTCTTCCTAGAGCTGGCTGTCCGGCCAAACTGCGCAAACGGGGGAGAAGGGCCTTGGTCAGGGTGGTGACCAAGAACCTGAAGGTCACTCTGACAGAGCTTCAGAGTTCCTCTGGAGAGTATTAGCGACTCTTCCAAGGATGGAGCATAGGTAGTGCCTGCTCGTGACAGACAGATTTTCCCATCCCGGGATGAACCACGACCTTCGGTTTAGCACAACGCTCGGAACCCTAGCTACTGTTGTCTTCCAGAAGGAACCATGGACGAGCGGAGGAAGCCACAGTAAAAGGCACATGACAGCCCGCTTGGAGTTTGCCAAAAGGCACCTAAAGGACTTTCAGACAATGAAACAAGATTCTCTGGTCTGATGAAACCAAGATTGAACTCTTTTGCCGGAATGTCAAGCGTCACGTCTGGAGGAAATCAGGCACCGCTCATCACCTGGCCAATACCATCCCTACGGTGAAGCATGGTGGTGGGAGCAGCATGCTGTGTGGGATGTTTTTTCAGGGACTGGGAGACTAGTCTAGACTTTGCTGAAACAGAGCCCTTACAGCGAGATCCTTGATTAAAACCGCGCAGAGCGCTCAGACCTCAACTGGGGCGAAGCTTCACCTTTCAACGATAACGACCCTAAGCACACAGCCAAGACAACGCAGGAGTGGCTTCGGAATAAGTCTCTGAATGTCCTTGAGTGGCCCAGCCAGAGCCTGGACTTGAACCCGATCGAACATCTCTGGAGAGACCTGAAAATAGCTGTGCGGCGATGCTCCCCATCCAACCTGACAGAGCTTGAGAGGATCTGCAGAGAAGAATGGGAGAAACTCCCCAAATACAGGTGTGCCAAGCGTGTAGCGTCATACCCAAAAAGACTTGAGGCTGTAATCGCTGCTAAAGGTGCTTCAATAACGTACTGAGTAAAGGGTCTGAATACTTCTTTTTTTCTATAAATTTGGAACAATTTCTAAAAACCTGTTTTTGCTTTGTCATTATGGGATAGCGTGTGTAGATCAGTAAAACATTTTTTGAATCAGGCTGTAACGTAACAAAATGTGGAAAAAGTCAAGGGGTCTGAATACTTTCCGAATGCACTGTACATTACTTAGCATTACGCAACACCAGCTATGTGTATTGAAAAACAACTCTGCCAACCAGCAGGCAACGTAACCAACTGTAACACCACTGCAATATAACAAGATGACATGCATGGATATTTATTTAACCTTTATTTTAGCAGGGAAATGCCTCTTTTTCAAGGGAGCCCTGCATGTACACAAGTCATACAAATACAGCATTTACAAATACAATGCAATAAAAACATACAGTATTTACAAGCAATTTAAGAAAAGCCATCACATTCCTCAACATGGAGGTCCTCTATCAACAACATGAACTGCCCTATAGGTAATGGAGCATCAAGATGCAGAGACCTCTGCATTTCATTCCATACACAGGGCGCAAAAACACTGAATGCAAAGTTACATCATTCCGTAGAGTTCAACGGGACTTCTGGAGTTGGCCATCCCTGTGATCAGGTCTGGTGACTCAAAAGTCTGTAGTTTAACAATGAAGTAAGGTACGGCGGAAGTTTGCAAGAGGGCTTACATTTTATAATCCAATACCACCTACAGGGCATTGACATAGATTCCTGACAGGTTGATATCATTCCTAGTCCTCAAGGGGAATGTGACACGCATGAAGTCCTTCCTGTTTTTGAGACTGTGTATTTCCATCTGACTGTTCTGATCACACACACTGGAGCCTGGAGGACACAGAGGAACCAAACAGTCTTTCTCCCTTCCACTCTGTGTCTTGCTTTCATCTGTGTTGTGCTGTAACAGAGCAGTACAACACACAACCTACAGGCCTTCCTGTTGTTATTAAGCTTTCCCCCTAGCCATGGGGCATCAGGTTGAACATGTAACACTCTGTAACATCACCCCATGTCCCGTGTGACTGCCTGATCGACTGACTAACTGCACGCGGCCTTGTTGAGTGACCTCCTGAGCCCTGCTGCTATTTTAGTCAAGGTTAGAGAGTGAGGGAGAGAGGACTGTTATCAGACGCTGTGTTGACATGGCGAAAGAGAGAGATGGAGTGATAAAGTGATGAAGAGAGGGAGAGAGAGGGCTCTTATCAGCCACTGTGGTGGCATGGAGCGAGACGAGGGAATGGGAGAGAGCGGGATGGAGGGAGGGAGGGAGGAAGCGAGAGAAAGAAGGAAAGAAAGAAGGAAAGAGTGAGAGGGCCCTTATCAGAGGTTGTGTTGACATGGCCACTTCACCTGCCCTGAGGCCTTGTTTGTCTACTGATAGCAGTCAGGGCCTTCCTAGACTGAGCTCCTGCCAGCTTTAGTAACTCTGCTTTAGTGGCTCTGCAGACTTCCTGGTTAAGGAGATTGATGGAGTACAAACCATAGAGATCACATTACACTTCTAGAGGGGCTATATCATAAACCCTCAAAGTTCCAGAATGGTTTGGTAATGGCAGCCATTTTGGTCAGGGAGAAATCCAAACCATTCTAATTGGAATGAATGATAGAGTCATAGGTGATGCATTTCCTGCTTTTACTTATGCAGGAAAATAAAAGTAAAAT